ATCCTCGCGAGGATCAAGTTGTAGGTGTCCGAGGCCACCAGGACGTGGTTGCCGTCAGGTGCCAGCCCCACGATCCGTGTCCACGGCCGCGGGTCAAAGACCACCGCATCCGGGTTGGCGACCTTGTCCTTTTTGACCCATTCCAGGCAGCACGCCACGAGGATTTCCCCGTCCGACTGCACTGGTGCAAATCCAAGGTCATGCAAAATCAACTGGAGCGCGGTTGGCGCCCCTAGGAAGGTCGTCCCAAACGGGGAAGGGAGGCGGGGCCTCCACATCATCATGATCCACTCGAGCCGGGGGCCTAGTCCCTAGGTGCAAACCCCAACCAAACAACAGGGGGCCCCCCAAAACCCCGGAAAGTCAACCCCGAAACGGAGGAAACGGGGGAAAAAGGGGGACCCAGGGAGCCGCCCCGAAAAGGGAAAACCAAACAAGAGAGGGGAACCAAGGCGCACCCCGGATCAGCCCAAGCCGCGCCAATTTTCCTCGCCTGGTGCAAGTCTGGGCCTGCGCTGTTCCCTGGGGGGGGATATCAGCGCCTTCGGCAGCTGTCCCCCCCCCGGGGTGCGCTGCGCATCCGTTCCGGATGGCCGCGGTCCTGGATGGTGTGCCGGAAGATGGCGTTGTCCCGCATCATCACGCGGCCCCCTTCGCGATGTCATCGATGCGCTTGAGCGCAGCAGCCTCCGGATTCCGCAGAATCAGCTCCCAGATGGCATTGGAGACGTGGCCTGTCTGGGTGGTCTGGCTGAATCTGAACCTGGGCACCTTCTGGTCCACGATGGAGACGTCCCGCAACGGGGCCGAGGGCTCCACCCGGCGGTAGTACTCCAGCCGCTCCTTCACCCAGCGGTTGTAGAGGCCCTCCGGCGGCTCGTCCAACACCAGCTGCAAGATGGCCTTGCCGGCCCGGATCTGGAGGAGGCGGGTGCCCCCTCCCCCGGCACGCCAGTACCCCTTACAATACTTGCACATGTAGCCCCCCCGGGTCTCCCCTTTTGTCTTCGGGATGAGTTCCCACGGGGTGACGGAGCTCAGGACCAGGCCACACTCCATGTGCGCCCAGAAGACATGCTTCATCTCCACCGGATAGTTCTTCTTCCGGTAGTCCTTACCCACCACGCCGTGGACGTTGTCCGCCGTGATGGGGGGGTAAACGATCCCCTCATCGCCCTCGCCTCCCCTGGGGCGGATGTCAGGGCCATCGGCACCTGTCCGGCACCCAGGGGCGGAGGGGTCCAGGCCCATCAGCTTGATCATGTCGTTGGTGTAGCCGAGCTTGCGGTAGATGGAGGGGGCCACTGAGTCGGGGACTGCGCCGACCCACCACTGCTTCGTGTTGCAGCGCCAGTTGACCTTCACCTCCGCCAGGGCCCCCGGGCCTCCAATGCGGTCCATGAGGGCCTTGTACACCTCTGGGAACTGCTGGAGGCTCTCCACCGGGACCGAGATGCGCTCGTCGCATACCGCCCGCAGGATCATCTGCTCCTTGGAGTCCGCCACGTCCTGGACCGGGAGCTGCATCACCTCCGCCGGGGTGTCCGTGAGGAAGGCCCGGGCCGCGAGGACCTTGCCCATGGCCCGGTAGACCAATCGCCACTCCGGTCCTGTCTGCGGAAACGGAAGGCCCTCCTCCTTCAGGAAGCACCGCGCGTCCTCCTTCAGGGTCTCCCAGCCCTCCAGGCGGGTCTGATTCTGGGCCTTGTTTTTCGGGCCCCGCTGCCTAGGGCCCTGCAGCAGTGGCAGAGACTCCCAGACTCCCCAGAGCTGGCGCAGGGTGTAGCTGTGCCCGAACATCCCCAGTAGGCCTGGGAGTGTCCAGGACGAGATCTGGCGAATCCAGTGGAAGTCCTCATCCGGATCGTGGGGGGCAGCCCAAAAGATGGATCGCAGGTCCCCAGGGTAGGGTCGGTCCCCCGCCTTCGCCTGCTGGTTCAACTCATCAACGGAGTACCTGGCCCAGGGGAGTCCACCCACCTGGTGGTTCCTGGGATGCGTACCCTTCTCCAACGCCTCCGGATTCACCTTGGTGAGGTTTTTCGCCCAATCCGGGACGTGTACCGGGCCCGGTCGTCGGACCCAGCGGCCCGCAAAGATACGGACCTCTCCGACCCGTTTGCTCATCATCCAGCGCAGGACCGAGAGCTGCACCTCCGGGTCCTTGGTGTCCAGGCCCACCGGGGTGGCGGACGGCTTGTCAGGGCCCTCGGCACCTGAGCTCGTCACGCCAGAGCCCGAGGCTGGGGGGATGGTGGGCGGCCTGTCAGGGCCCTCGGCACCTGGGCGCGCCGCACCAGAGCCCCCCGCCTTTGGCATGGGGATCCCTGTCAGGTCCGGCAGATCTGACAGGAGGGCCGCCGGGAAGGGATTCCTACCCAGCGAGATGACCGCCTTGGCCTCAAGGTAGGAGTCCGTGAGGGATGTGAGGTCGTCCATACTGAAGTCCCTCCATGCCGTTGTCGGCTCGAAGACCCCAGTCTCAATGGCGACCCGGACCTCACTAGGCCACGCACTGAAGGGAGGCGCGATGGGCTCGAGCATTCTGGTTTCGAGGGAGCCCTTCGCCTGTCTGGCTTGGTGTTTCGCTTTCGCCTCCTCCGCAGTGGTCTGGGCCTGGAGGAGCTCCGGTGTGGGTCTCCCCCAGTCCGCACCCAGCTTGTCCAGCAGCTTCTCACGGAAGAGGTCCAAGTCCAGGTTCTTCAGGAGCAGGCCTCCATCACCTCCTCCGTCAATGGCCCCCCCTTGAAGTTCGTGGAGGACCGCCGCGGAGCGCTCCACCGCTTCCACCTGGTCCGCCTTCTTGGCCTCCTCCTGGGCGATGGTGGTGGCGTTGAGCCGGGTCTGAATCTTGAAGGCCTTCACCGCAGACGGGTGGAAGGCTCTGCATTCCTGGCCCTCTTCCTTGTCGCCTGGCAATGGGGGCCTCTCCCCCGGTGGGGCCGTCAGAAACTCCTCGTCCAGCTCCATGGGGCAGTTCCTGATCACCGCCCGGACCGAGGAGGGGACGAAGTCCGAGAAGCTGGCCTGGTCCGGGTTCTCGCAGGCCATCGGGTCGGTGGCCAGCTCGCTGACGTCCACCGAGGCACTGAGCTTGAGGTCGCGGGCCCGGTCCGTGTCAGGGCCTTCGGCACCCGCGGACCGGGCCGCCGTCCAGACCGCATTGCCCTGGTCATCCACCGTCAACTGCCAATGCGTGCCCGCCATCTCCAGGGTGGCCGAGTTGGTCGCCATGTCAATGGGCTCCGTCTTCTTGCCGCACCCCATGCACTTCGTGGCGCCCTTCTTCACCCAGGGCATGGTGCAGCAGGGGCAGATCCAGGATGTGGGCACCTTGCCCAGGGGGCGGTTCTCCAGGCCCCCGTACCCCAAGCCAGCGCGCTTGCCAACCTGCTGTCCCGGGGTGCTGAGCCGGGCCTCATGCTCGTACTTCATCTTGGCGATGTAGAAGGCCTCCACAACGCGCTCCAGGCCCCCCTGCTTGAGTTGGGGGCCCTCAAAGCCTCGCAGGAGCCGCTGGACGTCCTTGGCCTGCAGTCGGCGGAGCCTAGTGGCCGTGGTCGCATCGAAGCAAGGGAAGTCGCCCGCCATCTGGTCGTCGCTGAACTGGTAGAGGCCCTCCGAGACCTTGAGGGCCTTGGTGAACACGCTCCCCCCCGGCGGGGGGGCTGCGGGGTTCTCATCCTCCTCCGAGGACGCCTGCTCCTTGACCTTCGCCATCAGCTCCCGGCGCCTCTGCCACTTGGCGTCTGCCCGGGCATCCAGGCGGGCCTCCTCCAAGCGGGCTGCAGCCGAGGGGGACCTGGGCATCGGCAGCTCCTTCTCGTCCTTCGCCAGGAGCTCCTCCATGGGCACGTCCTCCTCCGGCGGGTTCAGGAGCTCCAGGAACGCCCCTGGGGGGCGTGTCAGGGCCTTCGGCACCTGCGCCACCCCAGGGGCTGCATCTTCCATCGGCTCATCCTCTGCCTTGCGCTTGGCCGGGATAAGGGGGGTCTGCTCCAGCTCATCTGCGCTGAGAAGAAACGCTCGTCAGGTGCCTGAGGGACCTCGGCAGCCAAAACGGTCCATCCTTCTTCCTCCCTCTTCACGAGGCTCGCCAGGTACTTTGCCATGGAGGCCTTTGCCTTAGCCTTAGCCTCTGCTACCGCGGCACCGGCGTAGGCGGGGGCGTACATGGCTTTGAGAGAGGGGAAAGAAAGATTTCAAATCACAAGACCAAAGATCAAAAGGTCCACTTGAGCCAAAATGGTGGCCCAAGTGGATACTTATTAAGAGTCAAGACAAGCGACCACCTACGGTTAACGCTTTAGCCCAAAAGCCACAAAGGGAAAACCAAAAGGTCAAAAGGTCGTCTTTGAACAGCCGGGACTTTTGGATTCTGCCAAGAATCAAAGAGCACCTTGACAGGGCCCTGAAAAAGGGAAATGCCCTTTGGTTCGCTAGATTACGACTGCAACATGTGGAAGCAACTGCTCAGCCGGTTTTATTTCCCACCCAAACACTGCACCCTTCTGGAGAAAAAATACAGACCCTGAGTACGCGGCTATGAGCCAACTAAAATCCAGCCAGTACATCTGTCATAAGCTTCCCATCAGCTCAAAGGATTTGGGCGTGGCTACTTGGCTCGATACTCTTGTTGTTACATGAAACCCACGCCATAGCTCACTGAATGTGTGTCTCAAACTGGACGTGTTCAACTCCTGGACTCTTGTTGTTACATGAAACCCCCTCCAGAGCTCACTGAAGGCGTGTTTCAAAATGAAGCCCGACAAAATGTCGCTCAGCTCCTGCCTGGATCGCCAGTGGATGTCTTTGTCTTGTTCTTCTTTGATTCATGCACTTGACCCCAAAAAAACGATCGCAACAGTGACTGAAGAAAAGCGATCGCAACTTGGCCATCTAGGTGGTTTCCCTTTGACACCCATGAAAAGGCGGGGAAAAAAAACAAAAACAAACAAAAACACCTGCAGAGCCCCTTCTCAGTGCCATGTCAAAGGGGCCTGTAGAGCAGGAAGAAGACCGAGTACCACTCGCTCACCTCGCTTCCGGAAACTTGCCCCGCCGAGACCCCAGCGGTCTCGGGAATCGGGAATCCCGCCGCTTGTGCGTGAGGGAGTCTTGGTGCATGTTGACCCCATAGTCATCAAATTCGGTTTAATATTGTGGGTGGTTGCGAAATCCATGCAACGCACGCACCACCCAAGAAACCCTGGAAAGATGTACCAATAAACAATGGTTTCCCATGTGGTGCAAGATTTCGTCCATCCACCATCCACAGAATTCAAATTCGGAGAAAAGAAAATAGGGGGGTGTCGCCCTCCAAAAGTGGTCAGATTTTGCACTGAACCCAAAGAAAACCCCCTATTAATAAACCGAGATTGATAAATTTGGGGTCAAAAGTAAGGTGTCCTTCCCATGTCCCATGGCCCTCTGCTTCTTTTGCGGAACCCAAAACTTGGACCCTACATTCAACCCCCCAGTTGAAAGAAAGAGGCCCTCTGCTTTAGGAAACCAAACCCAAAACCCGAAAAAAACGAATGGATACGAATGGACTGAAACCCCCAGGTTAGGAAGAATTCGCAGGTCCGCGGCTGGCTCCAATTTCGAAGCCCGGGCCCCTAGCCATAGTCACCCTGAAAGTTTTTAGGGTCCTTTCTTTCAGGGGAAAGGAACCCTGCAAAGAACCATTGCCGGGACAAAAATATGCTAGTGCACTTGCCAGGGATAGGCCATGCACTCTGGGCTTAGGGCACTCCCTGTTTCGGACTCCGGCATTTGTGCCCTTGACAGCGCTTGGCGCAGAAAACGAGTTGGCGCCCACAAGATCTCATGTCACAGCTCTCTGCTTCGTCCTTCCCCTGGTCTTTCCCTGGAGATGTTTCCTATGAGCTTCCAAGTAATTGCTGAGGACTGACCGCTTTCCAATCTTGAAAAAAGGACGATCAGAGGGTTCGGGAAGCCGAGACTCTTGTCCTGATGAACCGTAAAGCCCCGTGTCATGGTGGCTGGATATAACAACATGTTTATTATTGCCACGTGGTGTGCATAGTATCATGTCCATGTCCATGTCCATGTTCTGGATAATGTAACAACATGTTTTATTCCTGTAACATGCTTTTCTTTGCATGGTATCATGTCCACCTACATTTTGACTTGCAACCTGAGTAAAGTCAAAAAATGATTCGATCCCAAACCTTGGATATAAGTCTTGTCGTCCATCGTTAAACTGTGTCAACGGCAAAGACGTCTGATGTGTTAACGTTGGCCTGCTGGTCTTCCCGTGTTTGGCGTGCCGGCTTGGGGCAATAGGACAAAACCCCAATGCTCAACTGCACATGTCACAATCCGCGTAGAAAGCAACGGGCATACATATAGTATATGTCAAATGTATATGTATATGTATGATTGATTTATGTGTATTAGATGTATACGTGTATGCGTATATGTATTTATATCCGCCGACAACAGACGGCGTGTTGGACACAAAAAATGCTCCTTACCTCTTTACCTGTTACCCCTCCCCGAACCCCTCCCCAGGGGCACCATTTCAGGGGGGCGGGGTCCACGTACCACGCGGTGATTCGAAGACGCTTCACTAAATCTGTTCATTGTGCGGGCTTTCCCCCCGGGTGCGCTTTCGCATCCTTGGCAGCTCCAGCGGCACATCGCCAGCATCACCTGCATCATCCGCATCAGCGCCTGCGAAGGATGCGGATGATGCAAGTGATGCTGGGGATGTTGCCCATGCTGGTGAAGGAAATGAAGGGGGGAAAGGGGGAAAGGATCTCAACAGCGAAAGGGGGGAAAGATCTCAGGGAGGAAAGGGAGAAGATCTGGGGAAAAAATGCCTTAAGGGAAAGATCTTTGAAAAGGGAAATCTTTCTCGGGGGGAACAGGCCCTAAGGGGCAATGGGGGGACAGGATCTCAAACAGGAAAGGGGGAAAAAGACTTTGGGAAGAGAAGGGTGGAGATCTTGGGGGGAAAAGGCCTTAGGGGGGAAACGGGGGAAAGGATCTTAAGCGGGAAAGGGGGGGAAAGATCTTAGAGAAGCAAAGGGAGACGAACTCAGGGAAAAGGACTTAGGGAGGAAAGGGGGGGAAAGATCTTTGGGAGGAAAAGGGAGAAGAACTGAGGGTGGGAAAAGGCCTTAGAAGGAAAAGGGCGGAAATAAATGATCTCAACAGGGAACTGGGAGGGGGGGGGGGGAAAGATCTTAGGGAAGAAAGGCAGAAGATCTGGGGCAAAAAGGCCTTAGGGGGGAAAGGGGAGAAATGATCTCAACAGGGAAAGGGGTGGAAAAGATCTTAGGGAGGAAAGGGAGAAGATCTGGGGAAAAAAGGCCAACAGGGAAAGGGGGGAAAAGATCTTAGGAAGGAAAAGGGAGAAGCTCTCAGGGGGGGAAAGGCCTTGGGAGGGAAAGGGGGGAAAGGATCTCAACAGGGAAAGGGTGGGAAAGATCTTAGGGAGGAAAGGGGGGGAAAAGATCTTAGGGAGGAAAGGGAGAAGATCTGGGAGAAAAGGACTTAGGGGGGAAAGCCCAACAGGGAAAGGGGGGAAAAGATGTTAGGAAGGAAAAGGGAGAAGCTCTCAGGGGGGGGAAAGGCCTTAGGGGGGAAAGGGGGAAAAGGATCTCAGCAGGGAAAGGGGGGGGGAAGATCTTAGGGAGGAAAGGGAGAAGATCTGGGGACAAAGGCCTTAGGGGGGAAAGGGGAGAAATGATCTCAACAGGGAAAGGGGTGGAAAAGATCTTAGGGAGGAAAGGGAGAAGATCTGGGGAAAAAAAGGCCAACAGGGAAAGGGGGGAAAGATCTAAGGAAGGAAAAGGGAGAAGCTCTCAGGGGGGGGGGAAAGGCCTGAGGGGGGAAAGGGTGGGAAGGATCTCAACAGGGAAAGGGGGGAAACAATCTTAGGAAGGAAAAGGGAGAAGATCTGGAAAGGCCTTAAAGGGAAGGGGGGAAAGGATCTCAACAGGGAAAGGGGGGGAAAGATCTCAGTGAGGAAAGGGAGAAGGTCCCAGGCAGGGAAAAGGCCTTAGGGGGGAAAGGGGGAAAGGATCTCAACAGGGAAAGGGGGCAAAGGATCTTAGGGAGGAAAAGGGAGAAGATCTGAAAAGGCCTTAGGGGGAAAAGGGGGAAAGGAGCTCAACAGGGAAAGGTGGGAGAAGATCCTAGGGAGGAAAAGGGAGAAGATCTCCGGGGGAAAGGGGGAAAGGATCTCAACCAAGGGAAAAGATCTTGGGGAGGACAAGGGAGAAGATCTCAGGGGGGGAAAGGCCTTAGGGCGGAAAGGGGGGAAAGGATCTCAACAGGGAAAGGGGGCAAAGGATCTTAGGGAGGAAAAGGGGGAAGATCTTGGGGGGGAAAACGCCTTAGGGGGGAAAGGGCAGGAAAGGATCTCAACAAGGAAAGAAAGGGGGGAAAAGATCTTAGGAAGGAAAAGGGGGAAGATTGCAGGGGGAAAAAAGGCCTTAGGGGGGAAAGGAGGGAAAGGATCTCAACAGGGAGAGGGAAAAACATCGTAGGGAGGAAAATGGAAAAACTCAGAGGGAGAAAGGGCCTTAGGGCGGAAAGGGGGAATGGATCTCAACAGGGTAAAATTGCAAAAGATCTTAGGGAGGAAAAGGGAGAAGATCTCAAGGGGGCAAAGGCCTTAGGGGGGAAAGGGGGGAAAGGATCTCAACAGGGAAAGGGGTGGAAAAGATCTTAGGGAGGAAAGGGAGAAGATCTGGGGGAAAAAAGGCCAACAGGGACAGGGGGGAAAGATCTAAGGAAGGAGAAGCTCTCAGGGGGGGAAAGGCCTCAGGGGGAAAGGGTGGGAAGGATCTCAACAGGAAAAGGGGGGAAACAATCTTGGGAAGGAAAGGGGGGGGGGGGAAGATCTTAGGGAGGAAAGGGAGAAGATCTGGGAGAAAAGGACTTAGGGGGGAAAGCCCAACAGGGAAAGGGGGGAAAAGATCTTAGGAAGGAAAAGGGAGATCTTAGGGAGGAAAGGGAGACGATCTGGGAGAAAAGGACTTAGGGGGGAAAGCCTAACAGGGAAAGGGGGGAAAAGATCTTCGGAAGGAAAAGGGAGAAGCTCTCAGGGGGGGGAAAGGCCTTAGGGGGGAAAGGGGGAAAAGGATCTCAGCAGGGAAAGGGGGGGGGGAAAGATCTTAGGGAGGAAAGGGAGAAGATTTGGGGACAAAGGCCTTAGAGGGGAAAGTGGAGAAATGATCTCAACAGGAAAGGGGTGGAAAAGATCTTAGGGAGGAAAGGGAGAAGATCTGGTGGAAAAAAGGCCAACAAGGAAAGGGGGGAAAGATCTAAGGAAGGAAAAGGGAGAAGCTCTCAGCGGGGAAAGGCCTTTGGCGGGAAAGGGTGGGAAGGATCTCAACAGGGAAAGGGGGGAAACAATCTTAGGAAGGAAAAGGGGAAAGATCTGGAAAGGCCTTAAAGGGAAGGGGGGAAAGGATCTCAACGGGGAAAGGAGGCAAAGGATCTTAAGGAGGAATAGGGAGAAGATCTCAGCGGGGGGAAAGGCCGTAGGGGGGAAAGGGGGGAAAGGATCTCAACAGGGAAAGGGGGGGAAAGATCTCAGTGAGGAAAGGGAGAAGGTCCCAGGCAGGGAAAAGGCCTTAGGGGGGAAAGGGGGAAAGGATCTCAACAGGGAAAGGGGGCAAAGGATCTTAGGGAGGAAAAGGGAGAAGATCTGAAAAGGCCTTAGGGGGAAAAGGGGGAAAGGAGCTCAACAGGGAAAGGTGGGAGAAGATCCTAGGGAGGAAAAGGGAGAAGATCTTGGGGGGAAAGGGGGAAAGGATCTCAACCAAGGGAAAAGATCTTGGGGAGGACAAGGGAGAAGATCTCAGGGGGGGAAAGGCCTTAGGGGGGAAAGAGGGGAAAGGACCCCAACAGGGAAAGGGGCAAAGGATCTTAGGGAGGAAAAGGGAGAAGATCTTGGGGGGGAAAACGCCTTAGGGGGGAAAGGGCGGGAAAGGATCTCAACAAGGAAAGGGGGAAAGAGCTTAGGAAGGAAAAGGGGGAAGATCGCAGGGGGAAAAAAGGCCTTAGGGGGGGAAGGAGGGAAAGGATCTCAACAGGGAGAGGGGGGAAAACATCGTAGGGAGGAAAAGGGAAAAACTCAGAGGGAGAAAGGGCCTTAGGGGGGAAAGGGGGAATGGATCTCAACAGGGAAAGGTGGCAAAAGATCTTAGGGAGGAAAAGGGAGAAGATCTCAGGGGGGGAAAGGCCTTAGGGGGGAAAGGGTGGAAAGGATCTGAGCAGGGAAAGGGGGGGAAAGATCTTAGGGAGGAAAGGGAGAAGATCTGGGGGCAAAGGCCGTAGGGGGGAAAGGGGAGAAATGATCTCAACAGGGAAAGGGGTGGAAAAGATCTTAGGGAGGAAAGGGAGAAGATCTGGGGGAAAAAAGGCCAACAGGGAAACGGGGGAAAGATCTAAGGAAGGAAAAGGGAGAAGCTCTCAGGGGGGGAAAGGCCTGAGGGGGGAAAGGGTGGGAAGGATCTCAACAGGAAAGGGGGGAAACAATCTTAGGAAGGAAAAGGATCTTAAGGAGGAATATGGAGAAGATCTCAGCGGGGGGAAAGGCCGTAGGGGGGAAAGGGGGGAAAGGATCTCAACAGGGAAAGGGGCGGAAAGATCTCAGGGAGGAAAGGAAAAAGATCCCAGGGAGGAAAAGGCCGTAGGGGGGAAAGTGGGGGAAAAGGAGGAAAAGGGAGAAGATCTCAGGGGGGAAAAGGCCTTACAGGGGAAAGGGGGGAAAGGATCTCAACAGGGAGAGGGGGGAAAACATCTTAGGGAGGAAAAGGGAAAAATCAGAGGGAGAAAGGGCCTTAGGGCGGAAAGGGGGAATGGATCTCAACAAAGAAAGGGGGGCAAAAATCTCAGAGGGGAAGGGGGCAAGGGGACAATTCCAAAGGGACGCAAATAAGAAAGCAGGCCTGTAATGTCGGCGGCCTGAGCCGGAGGCGCTAAAATATATATATATATATATATATACACATAACACATCTATACATACATATATATATATATACACTACTCCAGATGCACGTGGTTGGACCCATAGGCCGGTACATTGGTGTTCTTTTTGGGGCAAACGGCCCAGAAACTGGCATAATGTACCTCCTCCTGAGCTTAAGCCCTTGCCGGGTTGGGGTGCTTTACTCCGCATGTAACATGCAACCGGGCGCCAGAAACACACTCATCCTTTGAAGCTCATCTTGGGGAGCACTTGGTTCCATGTGACTTGCAATATTTCCCAAACCTGAAATTGGGATCATCCCCAGAACCTACATCATCAGAGCTCATTTTACTTCCAGAGCGGTGAGCTGGAAGCCCATAAACGGCAAACAAAACGCAGGGCTTCTTCTTTCAGCCCACTTGGCAGGGTGGGAGTCGCCATCGTAGGTCAACAACGCCATCGAAACTTGGCCTTTCTTTGGGAGCAGATGGTCTTTTTCAGACCCCGAAAATGGCGCCACCGTTTTGTCTCCGCTTGGTGTCCCTTTAAAGCCTACCAACAAAGGGGGCACCCTTCAAACAAGTCTACTATGTAAAATGGTTGTGGAGGAGACGTCTTTGGGTGATAAAACAGGTGGCCCTATATTTATTTTCAACCTCAAAAGCTCACCCCACCAAAAGGAACCTCCAAAATGGCCCGCAAAATACGGGTAAACACTAATCTTGATTTCTTGATTTGTGGATTCGCGCTGCAAGAGAAATTCATGTACTTCCATTTGCTTAAGGTGCAGGAAAGAATAAGCATATCTCCAGCACTGAAATCGATTCCCTTTGACACCAACAAGGGAAACCATATGCTAAAAAAAAAAGGAAGTTGGAGGAGAAGCCTAGGGTGACGTCCAACAACTGTTTGACTCCTTCGCAGCTTCCCCCCTTTCCCCTCGTGGCTCGTGAGCTTAGTGGCATTCTCCACCAGCACGCGACAAGGAGGGCCCCAGTTGGCGAAGAGGATTTCGAACATCCTCGGGCGCACGGGAAAAAAAACATCCTCGGTCATGGGGTCATGGGGTCATGGGGTCGATTTGAGGGTGTGTCTTTTTGAGGGTACCTGAAAAACACGGCCATGGGGTCATGGGGTCATGGGGTGTTTGTTGGTCGATGTTCTCACTTCCGATCGAGTGGATGGCTCCCGAAAAGGTAACCAAACTTTTGTATGCCACTAAGCTGGTCCAAGCCCAAAAAGTGACTAAAGTCCATGAACTCAGGAAGTGAGTTCAAAAACACTGGGCCTGCTCCAGGCGTCAAAAGTTAAAAGGGTGATGCTGCGGGTTGTCCTCGAAACATCAAAAAGTGGTTTCCTTTTCGTTTCTGCTGGCAAGATGAAACAAGCAACCATCTGCTGGAAGTCATAGGCGCAGCTTAGCACGTTCCTGATGAACATCAGTCTAACCCAGAAACACCCGGACCCACAGTGGCCATGGGTCCAAAAAGGGACCCAAATTTTGGTTGGGTAGTTGATTTCTTTAAGGGAAACCCTTCCAAACAAAATAGGAAAAAAGTAGGGCAACATGTCTACACGAGTCTCAGCTGCCATTTTACAGCGACGCATCAGGACAGGGCAAATCCAAATAATCCGGGCCTTTCTACTGGGTGATGTTTGAAGAACAAAAACTTAACGGGAGATCTTAGCCCACATTTGGGGTAGAGTGAACATCTGTTTGCCATTGGTATGTTGTGTTTTTTTGTTTTTTTTAAATGACATGGTTCAGGCCCTAGAAAGGGGTGTCAATGATGTCGGGTTTTGGCACCTTTTGGAACTCCAAAGTTTCAAGGCGAAAAGGCTGCCATCAGCGGCCCCTAAACCACAAAGGCCAACCCAAAAACCAAACCAAAATCCTGCGCCAAAAAACGACCGACGTGGGTAAAACCTTTGGGGGCCAACGCACAAAACCTAAAAAACCCAGCCCCAAAACGACTTGCCAGTCACCGCGATTTAGTTTGGACCGTTTTGGTGGCGGATCCAAATTCCACATCCACTGCAGGAAGAACAAGACTTGTTTTGGGGGACCCCTTTTTGCTGTGATTTATGCAAATCGCAACCAAAGGAAACCTCCTAGTTCTAATTGAGAAACAAGTTTGAGTCTTCATTGGCCAATGAAATCTGGAAGCTAGAAACCACAACTTGCTATGTTTCCATTCAATTAGCATTTTGGTCTAAGGGGGACGGGGCAAAGCACAGGTGTTTGACCCTTCGCAAGTCGGCCATCGGCACGCGCCGATTTCCCGACAAAGTCATATCGTTTATCTGGTCCAACGTGAAACCGCCAGGGGGTCGCATAAAAATGGCCTTCCAGGACTTTTCTGTGAGGTTCCATGTTTGTGGGTGGACAGCTTAAGCCTCTGAACTGAAGCAACTCCGCTGCCAAAAGGTTCGGCACCAATTTGTCTTTGCCCAGGATGGGATCAGCTCCGGTCCGGGGGAAAAGCCATGCTCTCTCAATGACGAAGCTGTTGTCTTGGGTCCCTCAGGTTCGATTTATGTAAACCCAGCTCAACCCATCGAACCACTTGTGACAGAGAGGTAAAAGCCACAAAACTGCTTGCGGAAATGGGCAGAACCGGCGCGATATGTTCACCTGAGTCACAATGAACACCCGGTATTAAAATGGTCTGCCCAGAGCCATGTGAAGAATTACCAAGGCGGCCGCACCCATTTACGGCAAGGAGATTGTCCCTTGCCAACCTTCATCTACCTGGGGCTTCGATTGTGGCTCACCTCATTTCTTAAACAGGCGGTTTTGTAAAGCCTTGCGTGTTTCGTCGCAGACACGTGGTTTCGTCTTGCCGAAGCGCATGGAACCCGGGCTTTCGGCCAAAAAAGGAGAGAAGAAAAACCACCAAAGCTTGGTCCACATCTGGGGTGCACAAAACATCAGATTCTCGGACTCTGTTCTACCCCACAAAGGCAAACAAATTATTTTGGAGGAGGGGGACTGACTGCCTGGCATTTTGAGTCCAGCATCGACAGCGTGGTGCGTGTGAAGGTGCCGTAGTACAGAAACACCTCCCGGCCGAGGATCGGCCAACAGGAACCGGAGCTTCGTCTGCTGAAGACTAAAGTTGGTTGGTTAGGCCGATACCCCAGACTCCCGTTGTCGATTTGGTTGAAACTCCTCAAAAAGAAGCCCGATGAAACGGGGTGACATACTGATGGACGAACTCTTGCACCACGTTGAAACTGTGCGGAAACCATGGGTAGGTTGGTATTTACGTTGGGGAATCGAATCATTCTAGAGTTTCTTGGGTGGTGCAGGATTTCGCAACCATCCACAGTATGGGTGTCCGTCTTGATGGCATCCCTGCTTTGGTGACAAAGGGAAACCATATGTTAAAACCACCATTTTGGGTGCTCCCCCCAAAGAAAGACGGCGCACTCGTGCGTGAAAACCCTACCAGTTCGCCCACTTGCAATACCGGACACCTAAAGTTTTCTTGGGCGAAATCAGTCGACCAAACTCTTGGCAAGGTCGCGATTTCATTCCTGGATCGCCAGTTGCTGCTTTTTTCCATCCGCTTTACCCCACAAACCAGCAACAGTGACTGAAAAAAGCGGCAACTTGGCTATCTAGGTTTGCCCAGACTCGTTTGCTTCGAATGATAGTGCATTGGCGATCAAGGTTGTGCCATAGTCAGAACTCAGAACCCTGGTGGAGCATCCATGGAGACGGGTGTTTGTTTCTTGATGTCCAAATAGGGGCACCCGTTGAAACCAAACCAAAGGAAACCATACCCGCAAAATTCCACACACCATGGATTCCACAGCAAAATGAAGAGGAACCAAACTGAAACCAGTGGAATCCGTGCTCACACTTTTTTTCAGGTTAAATATTCTCAAAATCAGGTCTTCCATAGTCTATACCTCACTTTCTCTGTCAGGGGTTGACATCACACCCTACAAACAAAAGCAATATTTGGCTATTTGGGGTATCCTTCTCATTTGCGCATGGGTCAAAAAACTAAACCACTACAACACCGCATGTTTTGGTCCTTGGTTCCATTTACCAGGGTTTGCCCCATTTTTGGTACCTATTTTGGACCCACGGCCATTTCAGTCAATGATGCAAGCTGGCTCATTGGCTCCCAGGTGCTGCTACCAAACCTTCACGAGCACACGCCTGCTCGCGGCCGAAATGGTCCGCGGACGGGTCCCGGATGAAGTCCCAGCAAATGCCTCAGGCTCACATGTGGCGGTGTCCTGTTTTTGGAGGGTACCATTTCAGGGGTCTATTTAAGTTGGTTGCCCATCATGTATCCACTTGGCAGCAGGTAAGGGGTATGCCATCAAAACTCCAACGCGCCAGCCGTGGCCACGGTTTCCAGAATGGTGCTTTCCTCTCCCAAAGCCAACGCTGCATCATGTACCAAACATATTGCCAGTTGCTAGAGGAGGTCTGATGAAACGGTCATAAGTCTACAAATATCAACTCTGCCTCAATCAAAAGGAGGACCAGACTCGTCAGGGACGGGAAACCTCCTTCTAATGGAAAGTGATGTTCATAGGGACATTCCTCTGATTAATATGGCCCTCCGCATAGGTCCAAAGTGAAACTTTTTATCGACGATAGCCAAGCAAAATAGCAATAGATATCTCACGCTTGCGTAAGTGGTGTGACACCATGGCTATTTCGAGTTGGGGTGGCAACTTCTGTGTTGACACACAGCCAAATCATTTGATCCGAGACATTATTGTAGAAAACAACCCTTTCAGTGATACCAAAGTGGTTGATTTCCATCCCGGATTTTGTTTTTGGGAGGATCTGCTCGGCTCCTCGAAAGTGGACACCCAAAGCCCTACGTATGTTCCACAACCACCTAGGTGCATTACAATGATTCAATAACCTGGATCATGGTCTGCAATTGGTTCCTGGGGCTTTCAATAGAAGACCCGACCCCTCCATTGGACTGGAGGTGTTTGGGGGTCTCAAAACCTGGCGGTTTGAGGTCCCCAAATGAATCTAATGGGATCCTCTGGGTGGGGTGTCCCTCCAAAAGTTGCTCACCTTCCCGAAAACACGAAGAGGTGCCTTGGGGCGGGGTGTCCTTTCAAACAAAATCGACCAACCAGCACATGTCGATTCCTTTGTCCCATGGCCAGTGGTCTGGGCTTCTATTTGTTGGCGTCAAATAGGAATCGGACACCCATAATTTGACTTCGATTTCGGTCTTCCCGTTGGACCTTTTGCCAGTACTTTCATGTGGTTAATATGTGTTCTTTTGAAAAAAGCAAATCCCTTGTTGGTTTCACAAGGAGTTTATCACTACTGAACATGTGTATTTCAGTCTTTTTTCTGGGGGCGTGTGCAAAAGGAAGATTAGTTTCCCGCTCGCCTGGACCCCCTTCGCCTGATTAGTCAGTGGTTTCTCTTGCTTGCTTATTAGGCAACCAAAGGACTCATTGAAGCATAAAAGGAACATCTTATACCTACCTAGATAGCCAAGTTCCCGCTTTTTTCAGTCACTGATAGCCACTGTTCGAATTCTATGGGTTCCAACCCGAAGCCGGAGAGTTCGCCCTGTTCCAGCCTGGTTTTCTGGGTACATCGCCCTGAATGTGGGACATCGCTCCGCATTTTTTGGGGCAGTGTCCAATCTTTACCCCTTTAGTTGTTTGGCATATGATCTGCACAAAGCAATAACTCTCAGACATGAAAACTAAGTAGTTTGCCCCTTGAACCACCTGCTCCCGAGTAGTTTGGGGGCCCTGTACGTAGCTTTTGTGGTATCCGGGTTTGCATGGATCTTACCTTGTGCGACCTGAATTTTATTTAACACCCCTGGAAAAATAAAAAAAAACATGTTTCCAACAGGGGACAATACCAAATATCCTTAAGCAAATGGAAGTAAAAAAAAAAAAAACGCACCCCGCTTGAAGAAACCGAGGAGCTGCTGATGACGAGCCCGGCGACGGACTGCACGAAGGCCAAGAGGCAAAAGCTCCACAGCAGCATGGACTTGCCTGCGAATCCATCGGAATCTCTCAACAAACACCTGCGCTCCATCGGAATCTCTCGGGTTGTCTCAAAACATATGGGGGCCCCGAAAAGGGTTCTCTCAACAAATATTCCGGGGCCCCGGAGAAAAAACCATGGAGTGGGTGAAAAAAGATAGGTGGGTTCTTCTTGGTGTCCCTTGTAACAAAAACACAAGCAACCACAAAAACAACAAATGTGGGTTCTTTCTGGGCGTCCCTCTTATCTGAACTTAAACAAACTGCAAGCAGGGCATCTCAAAAAAAGTAGACCAGACATGGGGTGTCCTTTACCCGAAGGCGGTCCTCCATTTGAGAGAAACTGTTTGCCTGCCTGCACGCGTGTGTCTGTTTCTTTTTTTGTTTTCTCTTTTTTTTATATAAGGGTTGGCCTTTTTGGGGTGGTTGAAAAGGTCCAACCATTCTTTCCAGTCATCCGAATCTTCAGAAAACCCACCGAAAAACCCCCTCCCTGAATAGGTCAAAAGCTCCAAAGGCGTCAATGGCCCTAAACTCCCGAAACCAAAGATCGCTCACTTGGTTGTGTGTGTCTCTGTTTGAGGTTTGAGGGCACCATTTTTAGGGGCTGGTAGGGAAACCAAAGGAAAACATCCATTTTGGGGCTACCCTAGTTGAGACACACCGACTTCTCATAGCGGCTTCATGATGCCTTGCCCAAAGTTAGACTCTTAGTGGTTTGTCCTTCTCAAAGTTTAGAGGTATGGCCGATAACAAGCAAGCAATGGGCATGCCTGAGAATACCCTTTGCAGGGCTGTGTTCAGGAACACCAACACTCTACTTTCCGAGTGGATTGGCCAACAAGAGTCCAACTTCTTGTTTGACGTTAGCCTTCCCAAAAAGTGGGAAAAGGCAACTCAGGAACCGCGAATAGACTACCGTGTTTGACCGGCTTTCAGCGGAATCAAAAGACCCAGTTACACATGAAGGTCCTCATGAAGGTGGTCAACACGCCTTGTGCTTTTTTGGACCCAACTAAGCAACCCCTGAAAAAACAAGGTGAAGCGCTGAACAAGAAGCAAACTCAACTACCATCCATGTTTAGCCAAACCCTACAAGCCGCAGGTCCCGACGGAAATTGAAAAGAACTTGATGGACAAACAAGGCCCAACTTGAACCTTGTTTTTTCTTTTTAAGAAAAAACCACGCGAACAAGGGAGGCAGTTGTTGTTTTGGGAAAAACAACACTTGTAAGGAATCAAACACTGCAAAGACTTCCGCCATGGAATCACGCACCCCGCAAAGGGTCTTCCCACCCTCCGGCCAGGATTTCCCGAGGCCCGTGCCGGCAAAGGCTGTTTCAGGGATACCTCACTGCCCCCCCACAAAGAAAAACAAACAGAACAAAAAAAAGCTTAAAGTCCATGAACTCAGGAAGTGAGATACAAACCGACGAAGCCAGCCGCTACAGTACAGGACCCACCCGGATCCTCCAGTTCCAGAAGGGGTCAACGGGTCAATTGAGGGAAGTTCCATCGGTTTCGGAACCCGAAGAAGCATTATTTTGGTGTGGCTCCAAAAACCGGAATTCCAAAATGGGTTGTCCTGGCAAGTGGAAACATGGACCAAGACCTGCGTAACCCCTCCTGTTTAATTTTGAGCCACACCCATTTGGGTGTGTTCTTTTTAGGGGTTCCCCCAAAATGGTGTTGTTTTTGCTAGTGGCTTTCTTTCAAGCCACCAAACAAGGGGTAGCCTTAAAAAAAAAAAAAACTAGTTGGTTGAAATCGAGTTGGGTCTTGCCATTGATTTTCGAATGCCCATCCAAGAGAAAGGCGTAAAGGGAGCCGGCACCGGTTGCAGGCTTCCCTTGTGACACGAACTGGTACGTGAAAGTAACTGCAACCAAATTGATTTATCCATGGAACCCAGCTATGTTCAACCAAACGGAACTGACCTTCAACATCATGGGTCGCCATATGGCCATGGGTCAAAATCCCATACCCCCGGTGAACATCCCAATCTGCATTGAAATAGACTAAAATGAGTGGTGCACCTGCCCCAAAATGGTACCATTGGTTTTGACCCATACTGTTGATGGACGAAATCCTGCACCATGCAAGAATACACTGGAATGGTTCGATTCCCCAACGTAAATACCAACAAACCATGGTTTCCCATAATTTCAAAGTGGGAACGGACTTTTCGCAACCATCCACAGTATTGATGTTCATAACTCCGGCCGACCCATGGCTCCAAGGCACAGGCGATCAAGCACTTGATCAACAGCCTCGGGCGTCGCTCAAGCGAGGCCGCCTTTGGGGCCTTTGGGACTCCGCGGCCTTCCAGGGGAAATGGTTGACGTTGGAAGGGGAGCAAGTCGAAGTTTGGCGGTTCAGTGGTTGGAGTTCAACCACTCCGCAAGAAGCAAAAATGGGAAACATGTTTCAAAAACAGCCATGAAACGATGGACCTCAATGCTACTTAGGGCAACCAAATGGGAAGCAAACTTCCAAACTTTCGTGGACCCAAGCTCATTCTGCAGGGCTCGCCGTAGGGTGAGGACTCAATTCACCAGGGCGGCACCTGTGAGTCATGCAAGCCCGCAAGCTTTACGGGATTCATGAGAAGCGAAGTTCAGATGAGGCCAGCTGAGATCTCTCGATGTGGTTCCACCAAAAAGCACGGATCTCCTGAAATGCGGAAGGAATGCATGTGGCTGTGTGGCTTCCCTTTTGGGTTGTTTTCTCAAGGGAAACAAAAGGGAAGCCAGCAAGTGTGGGACAAACCCCTATTTTGGGACAAACCCATGTAAAGTTTGCGATTGTACACAGCAATGCCCTGAAAGTTGAGAAATGATCAAGAGCCTCGCCCCTTCCAAGTCGGTGGCCTGGCGATGGACTCCCGCAACCGTTTGATCCCCGGATACATCGCGGGCAACGCGTCATGAATTTACCCACCCTGGGTTGCTCTGCTCTGAGCAAAGCCGTGCATCACTAGGTCTACTGGACAAGCCCCACTTGTTCCCAAAGCTCCTGACGGGGCTCACTTGATCAAAGGGACAACTGCTAACTCTTTTCTACCAGTTTCAAGGCAACTCTCAAATATAATCTTCAATTCACCCCTCCCCGCCCTTCAGTCAAGAGCACTAAACTTGCTGGTGCGACAGGTAGGGAATGTGGGAATGAACCCAAGCTTTGGTGCCCCTAAAGGAAACCACCAGTTGGACGGTTTATAAGGGTCACTCCATTTCCCATTCCCTGCATCTCTCACACCAGCAAGTAAATTTCTTCGGTCCCTCCCACTTCCATTTGCTCATTTGCTTCCTTGCTGGAAAACAAATATGAAACGATGTCCAGTAGTGAAATCGATTCCCTTTAAAAGCAACAATGGAAAGCAACAACATATCCTTAAGCAAATGGACGCGTTGCTGATGCATCTTCATGAAACTTACATCGGGTTGCTCCAAAAAACCTGGCACATGGGTACCTAGAGTCTCCATGACCGATGAACCTATTCTTAAAGGCTCATGGAGACTCCTGGATTTGGTCCCTTTCGTTGGGAGAAATCTGGGGCCAACTTCGCCCAAAATCTCCCCGCGCGCGAAGGAGCCGCGCGAGGCCGTCGGCCACGGCTCTTTCTCCGAGGCGCTGCAGTGACGCCAAGGCCGCCGACATCGCCACCAGCCGCAGGGCGCCTCATGAGACGCGGTCGAGGGAGTCGAGCCTCTACTAAAAAAGGAGGTATTTACCATGGAAACCGAGTAGGGGGAAGATAGATGATAAGCACCTCTCCAAACCGTGCGCACTTCCGGTGGTTCCGGGGCTTCCGAGGAACCAGGGAAACACAGAGGTTACGAGCTGCGCGGTTTGGTTATCCACTGGAATTTACGAACAACTTTGGCCATCTGGTTTTTCATGTAAATGCGGGGGGACCACTCGGGTTGTAGCCCCACCTGAAACAAGGGAATCCCCTCTGGATGGGGTTAGTCTTTGGGAGGCCCTTTTTTGCTGTCTCAAAAGCTTGGTCATTTCAATAAGTGGTAGAAAGCATGCTTTCTGCTGTATTTTGTGTAATTTCCCAGCTCGGTGGGCCGAGCTGTAGTGGGTCACCCTTCGCCATGTTCCTTTTAGTCTTCAAGGGCTGGGAAACCACTTGTTTATCTATAGTGCTACCTTCCCCATTCATTCCAGGGATCCTTCTTTCTAGAAAACCTCCGGAAACCCAGGGAACCGGCCAGATATCGAAAACAACGATGGTTGGAGAGCATGAGGAATCAACCCTTAGAGTTTATAGACAAATGGAATCACTGGACAGATCCGCCCTCTGGGCTTGCAGCATGCTTTGGCTGCAACACCAAGCCGAACTGGTGAAACACGACAAGTCTTCTGGTTTGCCCGGGATTTCCCCAATCCCACGATTGGAAACCTGACTCTGGCCTGTGACGCAGCGTCCCTAGACTTCTTTTTTGGGCCGAGGGAGGAGGGGGTGGGGGGGGGGGGGAAGGTGTTGGGGGGGGGGGGGTAGTGGGGGGAACAAGGTTTGCAAGAAGGTGGGCCAAACATAATGTTGGTTGTGCCAGTATGCTCAAACCTAAGCGCCTCACTATCCCTAAGCGGCTTACTATCCCACAATGCAAACCAAAGCCCTACCTGCTATGGCCAATGGGAGTGGTGTAATTATGTTTGTTTCTGCCACCCAAAACTCTGTGCCCAGTGACCCTGGCAGAAACAGGCTTCGGGGGGGTCCAGTTTTAGTTGGCCCCGATCCCGCCAAACAGAAAGGGATCTTAAGGGTGGAATCGACTCAAAAAGAACCGCCTCACCCAAAAGGTGCCTTTTTTGGGTAATTACAACACTTCGCCAGCCCAGAACAAGAGGCCCCTACGCAAATTTCAGGCCCTTGGCCTACAAAGATAGCCTCAATAAAGGTTTCTTCGGGGGCTGGCATCCCTTCCCAGACAATTCATGTAGGTATACCAACAGCGGATCCATTTGGAGGGCAAATGTTGGTATCCTCCCACCAACTAACGTGGAACCTGACGGGGACCCGGTCCCTTGAAAAGGAAACCAGTCTTCAAGGACCTCCCGAACTTCAGGTTCCATGTTGACTGGTGGGGACATAGGTAATTTTTGATCAACAGTTGATCCATGAGGGTTAATGCTGGTACACTCAGTTGCCCAAAGGGCCCGGAAATAAAGGTTAACCTTTTGGCACTACTAAAACTGGACCGACATTGAAAAACCCGAAAGGTCATTTCGATTCGCGTTGGAGGGCTCTAGGTCCTCCAGTAGAGAGGTTAGAAGAAGGGCGCCCTTTTTTCAGGACGTCTATTTTAGTAGGGGAAAACCCCCCACCAAAAAAGAAATGGGTGAGAAAGGGCACCAATTGCTGGGGGACCTATTGCCTGCAGTCCATGGATTCTCTGGGCTTCACCTCGCTCTTGTCCATCCCAGTCCCTCCAAGGTCCGAAGGGCGCGCGAAGCGCGCGAAGCGGAGGATCCGCAGCACCACTAAGTTGGGCGTCACCGGGGCGACCTGAACTCGGCACAGTTTGGGTGCTTGGCTTTGGTGCTTTCTCTATGCTGTCTGTTTTTCTTTGTTCAGCTTGTGTGTTGTTTCCTGCTCATGTTCTTTGGTTGGTGCCTGACTGCTAGTTCCTTGTGGTGTTGCTCTTTTGAGAGAGACCTTTCTTGGCATACGCAGGAGCCTAGGACCTTGGGCCCGTATTTTAGGGCCCCAAAAGGCCAAAAAGGCTCGTGTGCTAGGCGTGTGGGGACACTAAAAAAAAAGAGACTCCCCCTGGAGTAGAAGAACTGAATGCGCCTTAAGGCAGAAGGCCAAAGAAGCGAAAAGGGGGGGGGCTTTGAGGTGTTGCTTGCAGTGGCCCTGAGCACTTCCAGGTGAAAAGGCTACGGGGAAGCTCATGCTGGGCTCATCCCCCTTGGAGGTCCATCATGGGGTGGCATCACCATCAAGGACCCCAAACAAGTGACGTGGCTTTCCTTTGGGTTTCCCTTTACACCACCCAGAAACCGGCACGCACCGCGTGTGCGTGTGGCATTTCAGCGAGTGACAGCCCCTGGAAATTGGCCTGGGCCTATGGGTACCAACCAGCTGACGGGCCAATTGGACATCCACAAAAAGAAGCAGGCCAGCTTTGGGTCACGAAGACCACCCCGTCTCACCCGAAACAGCCAAACTACCAGATCTGTTGACCCAACCGCAAACATGCTTTAATTACATGGAGCTCCCCCAAAAGGGGATGACCCGTCAATCATGCGAACTGTCCGTCTCAACTGAATCTCATCTTTCGCACCCAACTGCAGACATGTTCTTAATGTGATGCGATCTGTGGGAACCGCAGAGACCTGGTGGCACTTTCGCTCCCTCAGCAAAGTTGGAGACCCCCAGCTCCCGAGTCCGGCTCCCTTCCAACCAGCTAGCGAACGAGTCCATCTTTACATGACCCCACCCACCCACATTCCTGAAACTTAGCTCCATGGACCGTACGATGGCTATGGATTTGGTCCCTGGCTCGGAGATTTCGCCCTGGCGTTTGGGATAATCTTTTAGGAACGGCGTTTTGGGAGCAACAGATGATGATAAATTTATGAAGGCGAGATCTGGGCTGCCAAGCGGAAAGCCACTATATATCTGGGTGAATTATAATAGTTCACCAACCTGAAATAAGGTGGTTGGGGGGCTATTCCCCACATAAACCACCATTTAGGGTGAGGTCGTATGAGGTCGTTATAAATTCACCCAGATATATGTTTGATATGGTGTTTGTTGCTTTTGGGGGGGGCATCCGCGAAAAAGAAAAAAATACCCCCATCGAGGCAAGCCGACGGAGATCAACACGATCTCCCCGAGGCAAATGATGGAAATCAGCAGGTCCAGCCAGTTCATCCACTTCCGCCAGAAGCGTCGCCTGACTTGCCGTCTTATTACTCGGTTGCGAAATCTGCTCCCCTGCTAAAAGTTTAACTTCTAGTGGTTTAATGGACGCCCATTAGTTGGCAACAAGTTGTTCAGTCCTAACATCCCTTGGCAAAATGCACCTGATGTTCTTTCGGGGTCCAAGGAAGGGTACACCTAAGAAATCACCTACCCTGAGCAGCATTGGACCCTCCATTTTTCAGGCCAGGAAGAAAATGCGTTTGAGGGCCAAAGATGCTTAGGGCGGCACATACAGAAACCCTTGAGAGAAAGTAAAGGTTCAATTTGGCACAAAGGTATCACTTCAGGGCGCCAGTTTGGCATGCCGAAAGGTTTCTGATAGGACGTACACGTTTCCAAGAAAGTAGTCTCGCTCACCCTGCCAAAAGAGTCAACTCAGCGCGGTAGATCTCAATTACCGAATGTTGACTAGGTCCTCCAGTAGAGAGGTTGGAATAAGGGTACCCTTTTTTTTCGGTGGTCTGTTTTAGTAGGGGAACCCTCCCCCAAAAAAGGGGAAACGGGCACTACTGGGAGACCTAGTCAATGACTATCCCCTATATAGGCCTCACAAAACCCGGGGTTTGCCTTGCGCTTTGCGCGCAAGCGCGCGCGGTCCGAAGACGGTGCCTGGCTGGTTGATCCTGTGGGAGTCGTCTCATGGGAAGCTTATTCACCGATCACACCTAGAGATCTCCCCAAACCCCCAGCCATGAGGCCAGAAATGGGCCCTCTTTTTCGGCCGTCAAGGCCAAGGAAAACCACCCTCCAAAAAGAAGTAAAGGAAAACGGATTCGCTGGACACTCTCTCCCTGCGCCCCTTTACCATCTTGACAGGACAAGAGGCAAACCCCCACAGCCCAGTTTGGGGGCACGAACACTCGGGGCTCACTTGGAAAATTCGCTCACTGCCTCTCTCATCGGGAAATACCCTTCTCGGGAATGGGAAAAAAGGGCCCAGCTCCCCAGTTCAGGCCCCGACATTTCAAGACGCCTCCAATTTGTTGCCCCCTGTTTGCTCAAGTGCCCCTTTTTATACATATATATTTACATACATATATATATATATATACACATAATCATATATATATATATTACAGACATATATATATATA